ATAGCTTGTGCTGGGAGTGATGGCGCGCACCTTAGGCAAAAGCAAGTGGATCTCTGTGAGATGGAGGCCAGTGTAGTCTGCAGAGCGAGTTCCAAGCCATTTGGGGCTACAGGGAGATCCTCCCTCAAAACAAAACAAAACAAACAAAACAAAACAAAAAATCAAGATAATACTACTAGCTTGTTCTGTTTGCTTTTTGCCAGTTGGTTTAGTTTAATTTTTATGAGACAGTCTCATGTAACCCAGGCTGGCCTGGAATTCTCTATGTAGCTGGGAATGGCCTTGAACTCCTGATCCTGCTACCTCTGCACCAAAGTGCTGGGATTACAGGCATGGATCATCATATTTGGCTAAGGCTGAAAGAGCTTTGAAAACTTGAATATTAAACTGAAACACGTGTAATTTGTCCCTTGTGGTCTCAAACCATACCTAAACCCCAGGAGTCACTGTCTCTCCTCGGGCTTCTGTTGACTCTGACTCTGATGTTTCTCAGCTGCCTTGGAACTCACTATGTAGACCAGACTGGCCTTGAACTCACAGAGATCCGCCTGCCTCTGCCTCCCAAGTGCTGGGATTAAAGGCGTGCGCCACCACGCCCGGCTAAAATTTTTTATTTTTATGTGTATGAGTGTTTTGCCTGTATGTAAATGTACTGGTGTCCTGCAGTGCCCATGGAGGCCAAAAGAAGGCATCAGATCCCTTGAAACTGAGCTAGCTCCCTGGCTCCCCTTTAAAGTTACTTTTGTCCCCTTTCTATGCTGTATTGTTTGGAAGGAACTTACTGAGCCCAGCCCATGTCTAAGGAGCAAGGAATTTTGTTCCACCACCTTAGGGGTGAAGTGTTGAAATAAATTATTTGGAATTCTGATGGAAGATTTGTCTCCTCTCTCACCAAACATGGGCCAAGTGGTTCAGGCCTATAATCCCAGCTCCTTGAGAAGCAGAAGGATCCCAATTTCAAGGCCTGCTTGGGTAACTTATTAAGACTCAGTCTCAAAATAAAAAGTAAAAAGAGGGCTTGGATACAGATCAGTAGTAGAGACTTGTCTAGAATTTTTTTTAATTTTTACATTTATTTTTAGTTTTTGTGTATAGGTATTTTGCCTGCATGCATGTAAGTGTATCATGTGTGTTCAATGCCCGAAAAGGTCAGAAGAGGGCACCAGATTCCCTGGAATGAGAGTTAAGGACATGCATTAGCTGCCATGTGGGTGCTGGGAACAAAACCTGGGTCCTCTGCAAAAGCAGCCAGTGCTCTTAAACTCTTTGATTCTTAACTGCTGAACCTATTCTTTTCTTTCTTCTTTTTTTTTTTTTTTGGTCTAACATTCTTTTTTTTTTTTAAATTTTTTATGTGTATGCATGTATTGCCTGCATGTAGGTAAGTGCACCTGTGTTGTGCAATGCCCATGGAGGACAGAAGAGGCTGTCAGATCCCCTGGGACTGGAGTTATGGGCAGTTGTAGCTGCCATGTGGGTGCTGGGATTCAAACCCATGTCTTCTGTAAGACCAACCAGTGTTCTTAACTGCTGAGCCATTGCTCCAGCCCCTTGGTCTAACATTCTTAAGGCCCTAAGTTCAGTACCTTGGGGGTAGGGAGAGAACTCATAAGTATTTATATTAGTAAAGACTTGTGAATATTTGCTTTAAACTTTATAATCCAATATCACTTTATTTTTTAGTTTTATTTTTGAGACGAGCTTTCATGCAACCCAAGCTGGCCTGGAACTTGATTTATAGGCAAAGGATGACTTTGAATTTCTGATCCTCCTGCCTTCACCTTTTAAGGACTAGGATTACAAACAAGTGCACCATTAATGTTGTTTTGTGTGTGTGTGTATTTTGCTTTGTTTTGTTTTTTTCTTTTTTTGAGACAGGGTCTCCCTGTAGCCCCAGCTGGCCTGGAACTTGCTATGTAGACCAGGCTGGCCTCAAACTCACAGAGATCCACCTGCCTCTGCCTCCCAAGTGCTGGGATTAAAGGCATGTGCCACCATGCCTGGCTTTTTTGTTTTTTGTTTTGAGACAGGGTCTCACTATGTAGTTCTGACTGGCCTGGAACTCATTATGTAGACCAAACTGGCCTCAAACTAACAAATCCTCCTGCTTTGCCTCCCACGTGCTGGGATTAAAGGTCTATGCCACCAGATCTGGACCATGTTTGGTTTTATGCAGTGCTGAGGATTGAACCCAGGGCTTCAGGCATGCTAGGTCAGCACTATGAGTTACACACTTCAGGCATGCCAGGTCAGCACTATGAGTTACACACTTCAGGCATGCCAGGTCGGCACTATGAGTTACACACTTCAGGCATGCCAGGTCGGCACTATGAGTTACACACTTCAGGCATGCCAGGTCGGCACTATGAGTTACACACTTCTGCCTTTCGGCACTATGAGTTACACACTTCAGGCATGCCAGGTCGGCACTATGAGTTACACACTTCAGGCATGCCAGGTCGGCACTATGAGTTACACACTTCAGGCATGCCAGGTCGGCACTATGAGTTACACACTTCAGGCATGCCAGGTCGGCACTATGAATTACACACTTCTGCCTTTATAAAAACAGGTTCTCATTATGTAACACATGCTGGCTTCAAACTCCTGATCCTCCTGCCTCCACCGTGAGTGCTTAGCGCACAGGTGTTCCCCACCATACTTGGCACTACTAGTCCAAGTCATTGTGGGTTTTGAAATTTGTGATAAGATTTGACATATATAAATACCACCAAACCAGGGTTGGAGAGATGGCTCAGTGGTTAAGAGCACAGACTGCTTATGCAGAGGACCCAGGTTTGATTCAAAGCACCCACACAGCAGCTAACAACCATCTGTAACTTCAGTTCCAGGGGATCTGATACCCTCTTTTGACCTCCTTGGGCATCGCACAACACGATGCACTTATACACATACATGCAATACACTCATATACATTAAATAAAAATATCTTTTTAAAGTTTTTAAAAATGCCACCAAATCAAGACAGTGAACATATTCACCACTCCCAAAAGATTCCTCAGCCCCTTGGTAATCCTTCCCTTGTGCTCCCTGCCAGGTTGGCTCCTTCTACCCCAAGGCCACCACCACAGACCTGCTCTCCCTCACCAATGCTGCATATTATATATACCTATATGGAGAACAATTACTGAATAAACATTATGTCTTTGTGACAGAAAAATAAACAAATGAAGTGGGGGTGGGGCGGGGTGGTGGTGACTGGAAAGATGGTTCAGAGGTTAAGAGCACTGGCTGCTCTTGAAGAGGACCTGGGTTCCCTTCTCAGCACCCACGTGGTGGTTAACAACTGTCCATAACTCCAGTTCCAGGGCATCTGTCGCCCTCCTCTGTCTGACCTTTGTGTGCATTGCACACACACGGTGGTGCACTTGAGTACATGCAGGCAAAACACTTATGCACGTAAAATTTTAAAAGAATAAAAATAAAAAGAATGACTTAAGGAAGCGGCAGCACAGGGACCAAGGCCAGTGAGACAGAAGGCTGCACAGCAAGCGATGTGTCATCTTGCCCAGGACAAAGTACGTTGGAAGTGCTTTGACAGAGAGGCTGGTCTCTGGATTTCCTTCCTAGATTTGGCAAAGGATGGCTCATCCTAGTCTAAGATGGGGTGGGTGGCAGGGTCTGCAGGAGACACCAAGCATTATTCCTGTGTTATAGATGGCAAAACTGAGGTTCCTTAGGGTGAAAAAGGAGCCTGTGGGTGGTGGTTCTCCAGCCCCCCTGCAGGTTGCTTTGCATCATGTGGCAGGAGCATGACAGCTGTGCTGGTGGGGTGCTGGGGGTGGGGTGGGAAGTCTCTATTGCTAAACCAAGCCCATCGAACTCTCCTCTGGCCCTAAGTTGCCTCCCAGAGGCTAAAAAAGCTGCAGGAGCAAATTCTACACGGGCAAGTATCCCTAAAGCTGCCTCGGTTTCGCCATCTGCAAAATGGGGTTGGTACCCACAGTAGAACTGGAGACCAGTGCTACAGTTTCCAGGGACTCCTTCTCAGGTGCGTTCCGGACGGCTCTGGGACAACTGGGGTCCCACCCAGAGGTGGGATTGAGCAGGACTCTTGGGTAAATTCCCCTTCCCAGATGGGCATTCTTAGAAAAGCACTTTGAGTCACTTGCTTCCCTGGAACTGTGCTCCTGGTTTTCCTCGCTTGCTTCCACCTGCGTGCTCAGGTCTCAGCTGGAATTGGATATTGGGGGATCGGGCGCCCCCAAACCGAGAAGGAAGATTAGATAGAGGGGTGGATCGACCCGGGCCCTAAACGTGTGTAAAGCAGAGATTGGACCCGACAGAAGCGCCCATAGCCCCGCCCTCTAAGTCGCAACCGCCACGCCCACTCCAAAGTCCCGCCCCTTTCGGGCTTGGGGGCGGGGCTACGCCGGGCTGCCCGCCGAGAAATCCTGGCGCTGGAGGCTCTGCCCTGGGCTAGGGCGAGCGAGCCGGGTAGAAGACCCTGGCATCCGGGGCCCTCACTCTATCCCATTCGGCCCCTGGAGGCCTTCGGGTCGGCGAGGGGGCCGTTCCGCGCGGGCGCGTCCGCGTTTGGGACACGTGGTTTCTACGGCCCCCTTGAGGGTTGAGAAAAGTTTATGGTTCGGGTTAACATCAGAAGCGGACGGCGGCGCGGGAGGGCAGAATGGTTCCGGAACGCTGCAACCCATCTATCCACTCGCGACTCCAGGGGAACTCTTCTGCAGTGTGCGTGGGCCGGAAACCCCGCCCTGCCCCTCACACTCTTTCAAATAGATTTCACGATGTACAACCAACCACGAACCGCAGGGAATCTGCACTCTCAGAAGGCAGACACATCAAGCCTCTTCCAACCTCCCCAGGGGGTGTTTCTGTCGCTCTAACGGGCGAGCTCTCAGTTCCTGCAGTGCCTCTGGTCCCTGCTCAGCGTCACCGTCACCCTAGGCAATACGCCGTGCAGCGCGTCCTGGCCCTTTAAGGAGCCCCAGCGCCTCGGCCATGTTGGTTTCCCGCGCCCGCCCGCGGCGCCGGCAGAGCGAACATGGCCCAGGCGGCGCGGGTCGCGCGGGCCCTGTGGCCCGGCCGGTGCGTCCCGGCGGAGAAGCTGAGCGCGCGGCCTTGGCCACCGCCCTCCGCGCAGAGCCGGGCGGGCTTCTCCGGGGCGGCAGGAGGCCCGGGGGTCCGCAAGGGGAGCCCGCGGCTTCTGGGGGTGGCGGCGCTGGCCCTGGGGGGCGCGCTGGGGCTGTATCACTCGGTGCGGTGGCACCTGCGCGCCCAGAACCTACGCGCCGAGAGCTCGGCGGTGCAGGTAAGGCCTGGCCGCGGGGCACCGTGGGCGCCTGGGGTCAGCCTGCGGGGTCTGGAGTTGTGCCCTCTGCCTGCTCGTGACCTTGGGCTCTAGGGGATCGAGGCACGCAGCGCCCTCATTTGCAAAATGCTGGTGCTTGCTCCCTAGAGCTGTGTGCATTTCTCCTGCCATGGTATTTCTAAAGCTGTGCGCTGCAGCACGAACTATACATCCTTCATGGAACGGGTGAGCCTGATTCCAGACCCTGACCCGGAGGTGTGCCCCACCTGGCGGTGGCTCGGCCGCCCTTGACACTTCGGGCACTGCACAATCACGGCCCAGCTCTACCCCGCCTCCCTGGCCTGGACCTAGGAGCTGATTAGGGAGGGAGTGTCTTGCTACGTCCCTCCCAGTCCATCCGGTTTCCGACAAAAGCTTGTAAGCTGCTGGGCTGCAACTGCAGCAAGTGCACCTCAGGGCTTTATTGCAGAGGAGCCAGATGCAGTCTCCCTTACTTTTGGAGACCAGAGGGTAGACCCCTACTTACCTGGCCCGTTGGTCAGCTCTGCCTCGTCAGCTAGAAGGGGGTTGGAGGAGGGGGAGGTGAACCTTAAGGGCTACTGCAGGAGGGAGACAAACCTTGGGGCTGTTTTGTGTCTGCCTTGGGACTGGAGGAAGAGGAACGGTGGTATCCTGCTCCCCAAACAGGGCCCTTGCAGATGCTGAGTTCTGGCTCTGAGACATACCACCTAGGCACTTGCAGCTGAGGTGCCCACTACCTGAGGCTCTTGCCAACCCTGTTCCCTCTACTCTCCCCTCATTCTCATTTTCTTTTTTTTTTTTTTTTTTTTTTTGTCTTTTTGAGACAGGATCTCCCAGTGGCCCCAGCTGTCCTGGAACTCACTATGTAGACCAGGCTGGCTTTGAACTCACAGAGATCTGCCTGCCTCTGCCTCCCGAGTGCTGGGACTAAAGGTGTGTGCTACCACGCCTGGCTTATTTTTTCTTTTAAAACATATTTATTATTGGGGCTGGAGAGATGGCTCAGTGGTTAAGAACGCTGGTTGTTCTTGCAGAAGACCCAGTTTGTACCCACATGGCAGCTAACAACTGTCCATAACTCCAGTTCCAAGGGATCTGACAGCCTCTTCTGTCGTCTGCGGGCATTGCACGACACGGGTGCACATACGTACATGCAGGCATAACACTCATACACATAAAATTAAAAAAAAATTAATATGTTTATTATTTTGGGGGCTGGAGAGATGGCTCAGTGGTTAAGAGCACTAGCTGCTCTTCCAGAGGACCCGGGTTCGATTCCCAGCACCCACATGGCAGCTAACAAACGACTGTTAACACTAGTTCCAGAGGATCTGACACCGTCTTCTGACCTCTGTGGGTGGGCATAAAATTAAAATAATATATTTTAAAACATTTTTACTTACTATTTTTTGTGTATGAGTGTATTACCTGCATGTAAGTGAACCCATGTCATGCAATGCTCAAGGAGGTCAGGAGAGGGTATCAGATCCCCTGGAACTGGAGTTAAGGACACTTGTTAGTCACCATGTGGGTGCTGGGACTTTAACCCAGGTCCTCTGCAAGAGCAGTCAGTGCTCTTAACCCCTGAGCCATCTCGCCACTCATTCTCATATTTTGACAGCTAACTTAGAAGACCTTGGAGAAGGATTTGTTTGGGGGTTGGAACCTAGGCCCTGGAATCCCAGACATCATAAGTGCTCTCTCTCTTCTCTCTTCCAGCTGTCTGTGTCCAGCCGCCTACAGCTGACCCTATACCAGTACAAGACATGTCCCTTCTGCAGCAAAGTCCGCGCCTTCCTCGACTTCCACTCCCTGCCCTATCAGGTGGTGGAGGTGAACCCTGTCCGAAGGGCTGAGATCAAGTTCTCGTCCTATAGGAAGGTGCCCATCCTGGTGGCCCAAGAAGGAGACAGCTTGGTGAGCCTCGGGGATGCCCTACCTCCTTTCTGTCCTGGGTTGTCTAGGAGCACCCCTGAATCTGGCTTTCCTTTGTGTTCCTGAAAGAACTTATGACCTCTGGACTTCCACTGAGAGTTAAGGAGAGCTGGGGTAGAGGGATGGTCCATACATGGGGACCTGAGTTGGGCTTGTGGCACAAGCCTATAGACCCAGCTGCTTGGGTGGACCTCTTGAGCCCAGGGGTCTGGGCAACATAGTCAGATCCAGTCCCAACAAAACCCAAAGAAAATAAATGTAGATGTTTTCCTTCTTGGCTAGGACCCCCACTAGTCAACAAGCACTTACAGATTAACAAATTGGGTTTGAAGTTGGGGTGGTCTGGATCTGAAGTGTGGCTCTGCCCCTCACAAGCTCTATGAGTTGAGGAAAATGACTTTCACCTCTCTGGGCTGGCCTTTATTTTATTGTTTTGGACAAAGTCTTGCTATAGATCCCAGGTTGACCTAGAATTCACAGTCCTGCCTACTGAGTATTGAGATTATAGACATGTGTCACCATGTCTATTTTGGGGTTTGTTTGTCTTTAAAAGTTTTTGCCAGTCATGGTGGTAGATACCTTTAATCTCAGCACTCAGGAGGCATGGGTGGTTGAATCTCTCTGAGTTCCAGGCCCGCCAGGGCTACATGAGACTCTGTCTCAAAAACCAAAACAAACACATTTTTTAAGATTACAGGATGGGAGGCTGGAGAGATGTCTCAGCAGTTAAGAGCACTGGCTCTTCTTACAGAAGACCTGGGTTCAGTTTCCAGCACCCATATGGCAGCTAACAAGTGTCTGTAACTCCAGGAGATCTGATGCCCTCTTCTGATTTCCACCAGCTTTGCACTACCCAGGGGTACTTACATGCAGACAATACACTCATACACATATAATAAAAATAATAAATATTTTAAAAAATATTACAGGCTGGCAAGATAACTCAGTGGGCAAAGGTACCAGCTGCCAAACCTGACAATCTGAGTTTAACCCCTGGGAACCACATGATGGAAGGAGAGAACTGACTCCTGCAAGATGCCTTCTAACTTCTGCACACATACGCATATGCACACGCACACACACATGAAATTCAAATGTAATTTAAAAAAATATATTTTATTATTTTTATTTTATGTGTATGAGTGTATTACCTGCATGCACCCATGTCATACAGTGCCGCAGAGGTCAGAAAAAGGCTTCGGATTCCCCTGGAACTGGAGTTAAGGACAGTTCATAGCCGCCATGTGGGTGCTGGGAATCAAACCCGGGTCCTCTGCAAGAGTAGTCAGTGCTCTTAACCGCTGAGCCATCTCTTCAGTCCCTCAAATGTAATTTAAAAACAAAGCTTTTGCTGGGTTTGGTGGTACACACCTTTAATCCCAGAACTCAGGAGGCAGGGGCAGGTGGATTTCTGTGAGTTGGAGGCCAGCCTGGTCTCCATAGCGAGTTCCAGGGCAGCTGGGGCTACATAGTGAGACCCTTGGTCTCAAAACCAATTTTTTTTCCTTTGGTCTTTTTGAGACAGGGTCTCCCTGTAGCCCCAGCTGGCCTAGAACTCATTATGTAGACCAGGCTGGCCTTGACTCACAGAGATCCACCTGCCTCTGCCTTCTCTGCTTCCTGAGTGTTGGGATTAAAGGCATGGGCCACCACACCTGGCTTAAAACCAATTTTTTTTTTTAATGTGTGTGTGTGTATTGCCTGCCTGTTGGTAGGTGCACCCATGTTGCGCAATGCCCACGGAGGACAGAAGAGGCTGTCGGATACCCTGGAACTGGAGTTATGGACAGTTGTTAGCTGCCATGTAGGTGCTGGGATTCGAACCCAGTTCCTCTGCAAGAACAGTGTTCTTAACCACTGAGCCATCTCTCCAACCCCAAAACCAATTAAAAAAAATTTTTTTATTTGTTATTTTTATTTTATGTGCATGAGTGTATTGTCTGCATGTATGTGAGTACACCCGTGTTGTACAGTGCTGAGGAGGTTTCAGATTCCCCTGGAACTGGAGTTAAGGATGGATGGTTCTCAGCCACCATGTGGGTTCTGGGAATCGAACCTGGGTCCTCTGCAAGAATAGTCAGTGCTCTTAACTGCTGAGCCATCCCTCCAGCCCCCAATACCAATTTTTAAAATTACATTTAGTGTGTGTGCATGTATGTGTTCATGTGCAGGTGTGTGCCACAGTGTGAAAGTGGAGGTCAGGACAGCATGAAGGTGTCCATTCCCTCCTGCCACCACATGGATTCTGGGGATTGAACTCAAGTCATCAGGCTTGCCAGCAGGCACCTCTTTCCACTGAGCCATCTTACTAGCCCATTTGTTTGTTTGTTTGGTCTTTTTGAGACAGGATCTCTCTGTAGCCCCAGCTGTCCTAGAACTTGCTGTATAGACCAGGTTGGCCTTGAACTCACAGAGATCCACCTGCTTCTGCCTCCCAGTGCTGGGACTAAAGGTGTGTGCCACCACGCCCAATTCATTTGTTTGTTTTTTGAGTCAGTCTTAACTATGTAGCCCTGGCAATCTTCCCATGTTTGGGGATTACAAGTATGAAACACCATGCAGGGCTTTAGGCTGGCATCTTGATTAGTCCACAGGAGCCCAGACCATGGGCTGCAATGAACAGTGAGAATGAAATGCCTGACACTGGGCTTGGCACCCTGTGTGTGGTCTCCGGATCCTGCCCCGGGTGCCAGGAGGCCAGGTGAGTCCTGGACTAGGGTCAGACAGCAGGTTTTGCCCATTCATTCATCACCATTAGCTGTATTTGGCCACCTTTTTACTCATAAGAAGGTCCAAGGTGGGGAGCTACAAGCTTAGGGCATGGGTTTTGGGGTAAACCCCTGATATAGATCAGCAGTGCTCAGGCTCCATGGGACCATCACCTTGAGATGTCTGGGCATTGCTGTTGTTTAGGAGTCTGTGGGAATCCTGCCAGCTGCCAGAGCCAGCCAGAGCCTCTGATCCAAACCTGGCTCCTGGGCTAGGGGTGTGGCTCAGTGGCAGAATGCTTCTCTAGCGTGCTCAGGGCCTTGGGTTCCATCTCCAGCACCGCAAAAGACAGTTGTCTCCTCTCTTCCAGCAACAACTAAATGACTCCTCTGTCATCATTAGCGCCCTCAAGACCTATCTGGTGTCAGGGTAAGTCACCCCTTAAGGCCAGGAGGGCATGAAGCCTTATCAGAGGGTATGGTGCTGCAGAGATTTCTAGAATGGATCAAGGGCATCCTACTCCAAGACCTTCCTTCCTCAGTTCCTACTTCCTTCATATCTAATCCAAATCCCTTTCACTGCAAGTGAATGAGCATTTAAGGCTGGGTCAGGCTCCGTTGTCTGGGTTGATGGGCCAAGGGGACAGAAGGAAGGAGTTAGGTTGACACTCTAGCCCTCCCCCAAAGACAGCCCCTGGAAGAGGTCATCACCTATTACCCACCCATGAAGGCCATGAATGACCAGGGCAAGGAGGTGACCGAGTTCTGCAACAAGTACTGGCTCATGCTGGATGAGAAGGAGGTGCAGCGGATGTATGGTGGGAAGGAGGCCAGGACGTGAGTGGGGCCGCAGATGTGGGAAGGAGGGGAAAGTAGGGAGGACCAAGCTCAGCCGCATGTTGTGGGGAGCCTTGTGGGAGATGGGGCGTTGGGGCACAGCCCTTGCCAGGTGGTGGGGAACCAGCTCCTAACACACCTAGACGCTGGCTCAGGGACACTGTGACACCCTCCACTTCCTGTGTCTGCAGAGAGGAGATGAAATGGCGGCAGTGGGCAGACGACTGGCTGGTGCACCTCATTTCCCCCAATGTGTACCGCACACCTGCCGAGGCCCTGGCTTCCTTTGACTACATTGTTCAAGAGGGCAAGTTCGGGGCTGTGGAGGCCACTATGGCTAAGTATGTGGGTGCAGCTGCCATGTACCTCATCAGCAAGCGCCTCAAGAGCAGGTAATGGCACCTGTGTGCACGTGGAGGGCAGGGGCCTACTGTCCCTCAGTCCTTGGCATTGCTGTGTGTTGGCCATCAAATTCCTCAGGAGGGAGGAGGGAAACTGAGGCCCAGAGAAGAGAAGCCATGGCCCTGCCTCGCACCGTCTTTTGCTTCTGCCTCCTTGCCAGGGCTCCTTGCCCTCCTGAGTCATACACCGTGACCTATTTGGGGCTCAACAATAGGTCTGTAGATGCTGTCCCTTTACCTAGAGGCTACCCTGGCCACGCAGCCTTCCTACTCTCCCCAGAGGAAGCTGTGCTCACATGGGATGGGGAAGGAGTCCCTTGATGGACCTTCCCTTCTCTACCCAGACACCACCTCCAGGATGATGTGCGTGCAGACCTCTATGAGGCCGCCAACAAGTGGGTGGCAGCTGTGGGCAAAGACCGGTCCTTCATGGGTGGCCAGAAGCCGAACCTTGCTGACCTGGTGGGTATGATGGTGGTGGATAGAGCAGCCTGCCCCTGGGGTGGGATGCTGGGGAGGGAAAGCCCAGGTGGGCCTGCCTCTTGCAGTTCCCAGCTCCCGTGAGGAACTGGCTGTGCCTTTTGTCAGGAAAAAAAAAACAGACCTTCCATGGTCCCCATACCTGGTAGGCTCGGGGAAGGGGCTTGGTTTCAGGCTGGACTGGATCCAGCGGCTACAGCAGAGTCCAGGCCCTCCCTTCCCATCTTGACTCTATGATTCCTGGCTCAGCCTCCGCTCTAGGCTTCAACCTGGCATAGTCTAGCTGGTCTGGCTTCAGGTGTGGTCCTTGAGCATCCTGCAGCCAGGTAGCCCAGCTCTTACCATGAGCTTGGGATACTTTTTCCCTAATCTCACAACCAAGGGGTTTCCCCTCAGGGATACTTGGGGTGAGCTTGTTGCTCAAGAAGGGGGTGTAGACAATGGACAGGAAGGGGTGGGCAGATCCTGAGGCTATCCCATGCCCTTTGTTCAGCCCATGTGCTAAATTGGCCCTTCAGTGAGTTATTAGCCCTCAGAGAAGAGAGGTGATGGCCCAGGACAGAAGCTAGCAGAGGACAAGCAGCTTTTGATGTCCCCTCTGAGACCTCGGTGCCCTGTCTAGGCCAGAGCAGTGATAGTTCCTTGACATCCTCTCTCCTCCCAGGCAGTATATGGTGTGCTGCGTGTGATGAAGGGTCTGGAGGCCTTTGATGACCTGATGCAACACTCACACATCCAGCCTTGGTACCTGAGGATGGAGCAGGCCATTGCAGAGGCCCCCCCAATGCACTGAGTGTCCTCTCTGGCTGAAGAGACAGGCTACTAGGGGCCAGGGCTGCTGGGCCAGCCCCTGGCAATGCTGGCAGGGGGCAGAGTCATTTTATCTCCGATTCACCTGCCCCCTGGCCCTGTACTTCTAACACTGGACACTCCTAGGGCCCTTGATGCTGGGGTCAAGGCCCAGGCTCAATTTCTACTCAATTTTCCTGAGGGTAGCATGTAAGGGGTCACAGAGGAACTGTCCTCTAACTGCAGCTCCAGGGGCCTGATCTCCCAATGGGGCCTCCTGCTCTTCAACTCTCTACTGAGGCTCAGTGGATCAGACTGGCTCCTGCCCTGGACAAATTCCGGTCCCCAGCTCCCATTGCTCCCATAATTCCAGCTCTTCCCAGTGCCCCTGGGGCTGTTAATGTTTGCAATAAAGGAGACGTTGCTCCCCTCTGGTGGCCTGAGGTCTGTGTGGAGAGTACTGTACGGGGCTGTCACTCAAGCCGGGCCACTGCTGTGTGACTAGGGCCCAGAGTGTCGCCAGAATCTTTGGTATCGGGGCCAGTCTGGTTCTGTCCGTCACTGGCCGTGGAGTTTTGGGCAGTGACACTTTCCTTACGTATCAAAGGGAAGATTGATAGTCCTGCCTATTGGAAAGTTGTGGTGAAACTGGGTCTGGTGGTGCATACCTGTAATCCCAACATCTGTAAGTCTTAGGCAGGAGGATCAGCGTGGGCTACATAGTGAGATCCTGTCTCAAAAAATAAAGAAACCAGGTGTAGAGATGCAGCTCAGCTGGCAGAGTGCTTGCCTAGCATGCATAAAGCCCCGGGTTCTGTCCCTAGTGCCCACATAAATAGAGTGTGGTGATACAGACCTCTAATCCCAGCAGAAAGCAGAAGGTCACCCTCAGCTACATAGTTCAGGGTCACCCTCAGTTACGTAGTGAGTTCAAGGCCAGCCTAGGTGACATGAGACACTCTCAAAAAAGCACAGACAGGGCTGGAGAGATGGCTCAGTGGTTAAGCGCACATGCTGCCCTCACAGAGGACCCAAGTTGGTTCCCAGCACCCACATTGGCAGCTCACAACCACCTATGACTCCAGCCTCAAGGGGATCCAAATGTCCTCTTATGGTCCCTGTGGGCACTAGAGCATATATGCACACCCCCCCCCAAACATGTAAAAATAAGAATAAATCTTAAAAAATAAGCTAAAACAAAAACCAGTTACCAAAGGATGAGTAGGGTTGGGGAACTGGTGCAGGGCAAGTGCAGGAAACCTAGCTTAGCAGGAAGCCAGGTGTAAACCTTCACACCACAAATGCGGAGTCATGCTTCAGAGCCTGCCCTGGGGGCCTTTTGGCAGCAGGTGGTCAGCTCAAGCTGAGACTACAGAGTTTTCTATGTTTTTTCCTCCAGAGCTGAGGCCCCAACCCAGGGCCTTGTGCTTTTAGGCAAGTACTCAAAAACTGAGCTAAATCCCCAACCCCAGGTTTGTTTGTTTGTTTTAATTTTTGAGGAGAGATTTGTGTTTGAGTGTTTTGCCTGAGTGTATGCGTATATGTGTGCCCTGTGTGTGCACTGCTTTTAAAAACCAGAAGAGGGCGGTAGTTCCCCTAGAACTGGAGTTAATGGTTGTGAGCCGCCCGTGTGGGTGCTGGGAACCAAATCTGGGTCCTCTACAAGAGGAGCCAGTGCTCTTGTAGCTAAGCCATATCTCCAGCCCTAAGTCTATAGGGTTTTTGTTTGAGATAGAGTCTGTGTAGTCTAGGCTGGCCTCAAATTTGAGGTGATCCTCTTGACCTCTGATTGTTAAGATTTCTGGCATGCACCACCATACCCAGCTTAGTGCAGAAACTATGAAGAGAAATTTGTGCCTTCCAGACCAAGGGTCCCCATCCTGAGAGGGGCACCTAGGCGGGGTCTGTGTTCCCCAGGGTCCATTAAGAGGCATAAGAGCTTGCAAGGAATCCACCGGAGGCCAGGTAGGGGGATGACCTCTATCCATTCAGCTCTCCTAATTAGGTAGAGGCCAGGCAACCCCTCCCTCTGACCCAAGGAAGGTTTAAAACTTTTACTTGTAGCTACTGTAGGCCATTGCTAGCCTTGAAATTGCTATGTAGCCCAGGCTGGCCTTGAACTTGCTATGTAGCTGAGGCTGATCTTGAACTCCTGTTCCTCTTGCCTCTACCTCTTGAGTACTGAGATTAAAGGCATGCACCACCACACCCAGCCCTACTGTGTTTTATTTATTTTTTTGGTCTTTTGAGACAGGGTCTCCCTGTAGCCCCAGCTGTCCTGGAACTCACTATGCAGACCAGGCTGGCCTTGAACTCAGAGAGATCTGCCTGCCTCTGCCTCCCTAGGTGCTGGGATTAAAGGCATGCACCACCACACCCTGTGTGTTTTATTATTTTTTTTAAAAACATTTTATTTGTTTACATTTTCTGTGTATGAGTGTATTGCCTGCATGTAGGTAAGTGCACCCATGTCCTGCAATGCCCTCGGAGGTCAGAAGACAGTGCTGGATTCCCCTGGAACTGGAGCTACAGACGGTTGTTAGCCACACGTTGGTGCTAAAAATCAAATCTGGGTCCTCTGCAAGAGCAGTGCTCTTAGCTGCCGAGCCATCTCTCCAGCCCTACTATGTTTTAAAAAACAAAAGCTATTCATGCTTTTAATAATCAGCATCACGTATGGCAGGCGAGAGTTCGGGGCAGTGACCACACAGGTGTGTGGAAGAGCTATGGGGTCTGTGAGCTGCTTCCCCAGGCCATTCTACCTGCTGGGTTCTACCCTGGAACTCTGACCTTGTCACTCTGTGTCGTGCTGGCTCCTCTTTGCAGGGCACCTGTTCAGATGTGCCACAGCCCATTCACCCAGCCCTTGTCCTGTGGGGAATCAAGTATCGGCATTTGGCCCTGCAGGAGGAAGGGGAGGAATCAGGCTGTGTGCCTGGCATGAGATACTGTGGAGATGACCTCTGAGTGTGTTGGGGTCCCAGAGTCAGCCATGTCCAGAAAGCTGTTTCCAGTGACTGGTCAGGCTGTTAAGTCTGAGGAGACTTTGATCCAGGCCAGGTCTTGTGGACCCCAGAGCACCCTCAGCAGGCAGAAACTAGGCCAATGCAATGGGTGACAAAAAGGGTGCTCCATCTATCCCTCCATCCCTCTGCCCTTCCATCCCTGCATCCCACCATCTGCATCTTACCATCCCTGCATCTCTTCATACCTACATCCTGCCGTCTTGTCATACCTTTCTCTCCATCCCAATATCCCTTTATCTCTCCATCCTTCTATCCCTCCATCTCTCCATGCCTATATCCTCTCATCCTTCCACTTCTCTAAACCGTCATCCCTTTATCCCTGCATCTTTGCATCCCTGCATTCCTACTCCCCACCTCCCACAGTTCCTTAGTACTGCTCCAGGATGAGATTAACTCTCCTCTCTGTCTCAGTCCCAAATTTCCTAAAAGAAGCTGATGTGCTCAGCTATGACAAGGTGGCCACCTTACTGGGACACCATGGCCTAGAGAAGTCCCACTGCTAGGTCTGTATTCTTGATACTCCTGCCCACTGTCAGTTAGCCTACTTAGCCTCATCTTACTTAGGCTGGATGGGCAGATTGTGCCTCAGCTGCCAGACATCTCTCTGTTTTCATCTTTGCAGACTTTGGAGTTTTCTTCTGTCTCTGCGTCTCACAGAAGGCAATAGGGCTAGCAGAGCCATGTCAGACACAAGGAAGTGTCTTCTGAGGACTTTTTCCCTGGGGCTGCTGTGGGTATAGGGTGCCCACACAGTCCTCCACTGAGTGGGCAGGTGACAAAATAAATCCAAGGACTGTGTTAGCCAGACGTAATCTTGCTGTGGCTGGAGAGAGTACTCCCTCCACACTGTCCCTAAAAGGGACAACCCTCAAATGGTGCTTCCTACCTCTTTCAGTGTGTTTCTCACAACCACCAGGAGGTGCTGAGTCCTCAAAGCCCTGCAGGAGATGGCAGCAGCACGGGGCTGCCACCTTGTGGCCAATTCCAGGTTCCACTGGGCAGCAATCATTATTCCAATAGCCTGTTTAAGGGTCTGAAGCTGAGGAAAAACTACATCTGACAGGGAATCAGGCTGAGCCAGGGACCCTTCCTGGATCCCTGTCATACTCGCATCACAACACATCTTGTGTGGTCTGTTTGTTTTTGAGGCAGAATCTCTTCCTGTAGCCCATACTGGCCTCAAGTTTCAATTCTGCTTCAGCCTTCCAAGTGCTGGGCATTGGATCCCTGGAGCTGGCATCACAGGCAGTTTGTAGAAACCAAACTCGGGTCCTCTGGAAGAACAATATATGCTCTTAACTGCCGAGCCATCTCCCTTAAGTTTTATTTTGGATTGTGTGCATAATGAATGTTTATTCTACACAGAAACTCCTCTGGGTGAGAGCCACTCTCTCCCACCATAGAGAAATGGTGTGTCACATTCAAGATTGTTTCTGATGTATTTAGTACAATGGGAAGGGTTTTGACCAGTGGGAGTGTCTGATGGTAGAGTATGGGTTTTGGTGGTTGGTTTGATTTTGAGTCAGGGTCTCATTTTGTAGCCTAGACTACCATAGAACTGTTTTCTCTAAGCTGGTCTTAAACTCCTGTTAATCCTCCTGTCTCAGCCTCTGGAGTGCTGGGATTAGAGGTGTGTGCCACCATACCAGACAGGGAACTGTGTATGTGACAGAAAACAGTGTGACCAGCTGACTAGTGGCCCCAAATACATGCACCTCTTGATCCCTAGAACCTGTTGCGTTTGAGGGGGTCAAGGGGATTTTAAAATTGTCCATTTTAGCTGGGTGTGGTTTAATCCCAGCACTCGGGAGGCCAGCCTGTGGTTTCAAGGCCAGCCTGGTCTATATAGCGAGATCCAGGACAGCTGGGGCTACAGGGAGACCCTGTTTCAAAAAAGAACAAGCAAACAAAAAAATTGTTTATTTTGGTGGGGGAGATTACCCAGGCAGGCCTTAAAAGTGACCACAAGAGGCAAACAAAGCCAGGTATGGTGTCGAAAGCCTGTAATTCTAGTACACAGGAGTTAGAAGGAGGAAGATCAGGAGTTCAGGGTCATCTTCCTCTTCATAGTGAGTTTGAGGCCAGCTTGGGCTATGTGAAAGCCTGTCTTTAAAAAAAAAAAAAATGAGCAAAAAAGAAAAGCAAGCAGAGGAGACATGATCAGAGATGGGATGGTTTGGCTGGAGGAGCCAGAAAGGGCCACAGGCCAAGAAGTATAGAAGCATCCAGAAGTTGAGAGAGTCTCTGGAAGCCTGCAGGAAGGACCTGCTGACACCTTGCTCCAGCCAACTGAACTGTCTTTGGACTTCTGCCCTCCAAAACTGGGAAAAGTTACTTTGAGCTGTTCTAAGTCACTGCATTTGTGGTCCTTCGTAGCAGCAGGCCTGGGACACTTAACATGCTACAAGTCAGGGGTAGTCAGGAAAGAGAAATGGCTCCAGGGGTGGGGGCAAGTCCAAAGGTTCCTATTTCCTAATCAATAAAGCGAGGGTGAGGCAGGGGCCCCACACTGGCTGGCATGACAGACCAGCTCCCCTCTCCCATCAACCCCAACAAGGGCTATAGGGAGATAAAGATCCTTCTAGGGCCACAGGGCTTTGTTCACTAGTGATGGCAAATGACAAAGAGAGCTCATTTCAACAGTGCTGCCTTCCTGGCTGCCCTGTGCTCAGGGTTGATGGCCCCTATGGGATCTGAGCATCCCCTGACAGTCTCTGGCCTCAGTTTACTGCTGCTGTCCCTCCTGTGGTTCCTGCCATCCAGCCCAGGCCAACCTCTACCACACTGGGCTGGCTGGCCCTTTGGGTACTGGGACCAGGGTCCACCTGTGCAGCTGGACCCAGCACAGTGGCTCCTCCTCTTCCACCTTTACCCTACATTCCAACCTGCTCAGACTAGTTAAGTCTGGATCAGGGGCAGCCAAGGCTATTTCCCCTTTGTATGAACTGGTACCTGTCCTTCCCCCTCAGAACTGTAAGAAAATCCCCTGCCCATCTTGCTAGTGAGGAAACAGGCTCAGCAATGTGGAAGGCTTGCCCAAGATCATACCATAATGCCCAGCTTGCAGGTTGTGGGAGGCAGTATGATCCCTCCAGTCACACAAACATTTGAGGGTTAACAATTTGCTGGGTGCCAGGCATGTGCAGCAGGAGGAAATGAAGCCCTTGGCAGGGAGGGGACAGATGATAAGCCAAAGAATGAAAATAAGTCATGCAGCTGGAGGTAAAATACGCATGGAAGCAGAGGGAGAGAGAGGCCAGCTTAGGCCAGCCTCAGTTCTAAGGTGGGCAGTGGAGGTCTCCTGAGGGTCACATCCAAGAAGAGAGGACAGAAGAACTAAACCACGGAGACCTCCCTAGGGACGCTGGCCTGGTGAGCTCTGCACTGTGTCTACCTTATAGTGTCTAAGAAGTCGGCTTTAATGCAGTGAGGCCTCTCCTTCTGGCTGGCTTGGAGGACAAGGCTTGAATGGGGTAGGGGAGCAGTCTGGAGGTCAGAAGAGGGTGTTGGATACCCTGGAACTGAAGTTATGGACAGTTGTTAGCTACCATATGGGCACTGGGAATCGAACCTAGGTCCTCTATAAGAGCAGCCAGTGCTCTCAACTGCTGTGCCATCTCTCCAGCCCCTTAATTTTCTTTGAAAGGAGGGGACCATATATAATAGTAACACAAGCCCCTCCTGCCTCTGCCTTCCCTCCTGAGTGCTGGCATTATACCAGACCAATCTTATAAGAATACTATCACTGGATCTGGGGCCCCCTCCAGTTCCTGAAGTCCTTCTGGATGAGATTAGGAGGGGCCTGTTAACTAACCCCTACAAGCCAATAAAGACTGCTCTTCCCTGTGTTCCAGAAGCAGCCTGGCCTTTGGCCTGGGCAACTCTACCTCCCTTCTTTGGAGATGAAGTGCTGTGGACTCTTGCCTGTATCCTCCCCACTTGACTCTGTCTTACTTCTACTTTTTTCCATAGGAAAAGGCTCCTAAACTCCAGTAACAACATCATCCTAACTCGATCACCTCTGCAAAGATCCCATTCCCAAATAAGGAGACATTCTGTGGTTCTAGGTGGACACAAAGTTAAAGTGACATTCCAATTAAGTACAAGTGGTACATGCCAGTTCCACAGCCTGAGAAGCTTCCCACTATTCCTGCAGCTATCTGGCCTGGTTCCCCTGGAGCCCAGGGCTATCAGGACATTGGAGGAACACCAGGCAGTGTGCCCCAGAAGTCTTAGGCACCTGAGAGCCAACTGTAAACATTCCCTGATGCAAGGCTGTACCTCTCTTGGAGAGACAGGCAGAATACAATGTAAATAAAGTGTGTCGGGGAAAAGGTCAGGCACCTGAAGCTGTGCAGAGAGGGTCCTTTGAGCCCTGCAGTCAGATACCTAGCTGGGTAACACAAAGACCTTAAGAAGAAAAAGAAAAACAATGAAGCTGGGAATGGTGGTACTTATTAGTACTGGGAAGTCAGAGGCAGGTAGATCTGAGCTCAAGGCCAGCCTGGTCTACATGGCAAGTTGTGCAAGTTCCAGGTCAGGCAGCACTACACAGTGAGACTTTATCTCATATAATTTATGTGTATTGGCTGGGTGTGGTGGCACAGGCCTTTAATCCCAGCACTCAGGAGGCCGAGTCAGACAGATCTTGTGAGCTTGAGGCTAGCCTAGTCTACATAGCAAGTTCCAGGCTAGCTAGGGCTACAGGGAGACCCTGTCTCAAAAAGACCAAAAAAAAAATTTTTTTTATGTGTTGTGTCTGAGTGTATGTGGTGGTGCCTGTAGAGGTCAGAAGTGGGCATCGTATCCTCTGGAAGTAGAGTTACAGGCACCAGACATGGGTGTTAGAAACCTAACTCTGGTCCTCTGGAAGAATAACCAGTACTCTTAACCACTGAGCCATCTCTCCAGCCCCCTGGGTTCTCATCTTGAGTTCCAGAATTCCCAGACTCGTGGTTTGCCCTCAGTGGAAGGTTTTGGGTGACATGAACCCAAGTTTAGGGTTTTAGGTCCATGAAGGATCACTTAGAAAAAGTGGAGGGAAGCAGGGAAACAGGCTTAGGAGCTTTGTCAAGGGTTAGGGTAAGAAGACACTGCCTCTGGCCAGGCAGAGGGTGGATTCCCTGAGCAGTTGGTCTTAGAGAAGCTGAAGGATGGTAAGATTTGCTGAAGGACAAGGCTAGACTATGCAGTTGCATGGAACTGTGGATGACTTGAATGAAGGTTTTCAGCTTAAGACATTAGAAAAATGGACCTTTCCTTTTCTGGTGTGACAAAGAGAGAGAGAGATCTGGGCAGAAAGCTAGTTTGACCTTCAACACAGGACATTTAAATGCCTAGCGGTTGTTCAGTGGAGTCAGCATAAGTTAGTGCGTGGTTGGATAGACAAAGTCAAGGTCATCTAAATATGAACAGATGTGAGTAGAGCCTCTGAGCTGCTCCAGATCCCTGGGCATCACAGAGGAGCAGGAAACACTCAGGCTCAATCAGGAGAGGGCTGAGGAAGGACCACCAGGTAGGGCAACTCATCTGAGCACCCCAAATTTAATACCAAAATGGAGTGTCTGCCTAAAGCTGAGGGGTAGCTACATAGGCTACTGTTGAGGAAAAATGTAAACCCTCCCAATGACCCAAGTCCAGACTAGAAAAACCCTGACTCTGTCAATCATGTTTGAAGCAACTTTATTAGAAGGCTGTTTTAAATGACAACTTCCACTTCTCAGTTTGCTTTCTGACAAACTCCAGTTATAACTATATATATATACTTAGGCATAACAATTTTTGCATTGATCTTTGCATCCTATTTGGATTTTCCTCAATCAGGCAGTTCTGGGGAGATGGAGGCACAACCACCAACTGACTGGCTGACTGGTGTTATTGAGCGAGAGCAGCTGTGGGCCAGGAGGGCACTCAGGTCACAGACGGGAGATGAGCTACCTGTCCTTCAGCCCTAACCCCACCCCAAAGTCACAGCAAGGTCCTAACTGCCCATCATTCAGAAAGGATGAAATGAAATCTTGTCCTAGTCCAGGAAAGAATGTGAACTGCCACCTTCCTCGCTGCCCCACTCAGCCTGCCAGGGGACACGTTCTCCATGGTCAGGGTCCCCCCCTCCCTCGTGCCTTTCCTTGTCTCCAGTCAGGAGAGGGATTTCTTTGGACATGACAGTGGTAGGTAGTGGGTTGGGTCTCTCTGGAGCCACACCCTTCCATCTCATCTCCCCATCCCCATTGAGTGGTGAGGGGAAGGTACAGTCAACCATGAACATAAATATGAATAAAAAATGAACCTGAAAATGACAGACTATTAATTAGACAAATCTATAAAAATAGTTAGGACATAACTCTGTTCAAATAAATACAAAATAAATAGGCTCCAAGCAGTGTGATACATCATGTGGGAATGTGAGGCTGGTCCCACTTGGCCCCTTAGGGACTGGACATAAATCCCCCAGAGCCTTAGAAACAGACTTTAATGCAGTCAGACCATCTGTTCCCTCGGTCCTCTCTGAAAACACAGAACTTGTGCGTTTGTCCAGCTTGTCCTTCTGAACCAAATCTTTTTCCCAATAAGACATAATTAAGGCCTTCAGCATCTTTTTCTTCTCAGGACAGCAGACATGGGGTAGACATTGTGCTCCATCCTCATACCACAGAATAGGATAATGAGTTTGAGCATGAGCTTGTGCCAGTCCTGACAGGGTTGGGGACATCTCAGAGGACACTAGGCCCATGCAGGCAGCACAATTCCTCTGGGCTCCAGGCCCAAACACTAGCTTTCAGCAAAGCCATGCACCATGGTGCCAGGCAGCCAGCGCCTGAGTACCTGGGCATGTCCAGGTGGCCTTGCTGGTGAGCTCAGAAGAGGCAAGTACATAGGTGGGGCTCCTTCAGAATCCCATACCCACATGTCCATGTGGATGTTGCAGCTCGGGAAATGGGTTTGGAGAGGTAGGCAGAACTGCCTCTCACCAGCGCTCGGGGTAAGGGACAAGGAAGGGTTAGGACGGTCCCTCCTACCACAGCACATCAGAGGGGAAAGATGTGAGTGGACACAGGAATGCTCAGTAGGCCAGAGAGGGGGCACAGCGGAGGTCTGGCTGCAAGGACGAGATGGAAGAACTAAGCTGGCCTCTAAGCTCACTATCTGACAGGCACTGCAGAAAATGTCCTGTCCCTAGGTGCTGACCTCTGGACCCTGAGGAATGTCCAATGATCTTCCCTAGAAGGGACATAAGGGTCTGCCAGGTCAGCAGGACACGACTAGGGTCTGCCAGCTCTCCCTGTTCCTCCCCTGCGGCATCCCGGGTTTCACAGCTTGGGTAAGTCAGCTTAGTGTTGGCACATTCACAGAATGAGATGGCTGCACACCCTGGGCTGCAGCCCAGGATCAGCAAGTCCGCCACCCTCCCGTCATCGTGACTGCACACCCAAGGTGATCTTCAGGTTCTCGTACACCACGTAGCTGATGCTCACAGCTGGAATCACCTTCATAAAGTTGGGGGCCAGGCCCCGATACAGCCCAAAGGCCCCCTCAGTCCTCAGGATCTGTTTGAAGAGGCTGCTCATGGTCACCTCGGGTGCACCCTCAATGGAGGCTGTGGGAGAGAGGCCCACTGGTCAGATACTGGCCCTTCCCACTGCCCAGGAGATGGGAACCAGCCCAAGACCAACCTTACCTTGTGCCTGCATCCGGGTTCTGACAAGGGCCAGGGGGTAGCTGGCCAGCTGGCCACAGGTACTGGAAATAGTACCACAGGCCAGGAGAACGAACACCCCAGGGTCTGCGCTGTTCACTGCATAGCGCTGCAGCCACATATTTTTCAGTGTCTAGGGGCAAAAGGGGGATGGAAGTGAGCCTTGGAAAGAGCTGGTGCAGCAACAAGACACAGGGTAGGGCAGTTATTGGATCCACATGGAAGCTGTTACTTATCACATGGGGATCTGAGAAGTCTACATAACCTGATTCTCTTGGCCTGGGCCTTGCAGAACTCCTGACTTGCCTGTCCTTTGTATCTCCTGTCACTGGGGTTCTTGGCTAGGACAGGGAGCAGGATGAGGTAGAGCACTGCATTCCCACACAGAGCACTTGGCCTCTGTGGTCTGAAATCTGAGGAGGGCTGTGAGCCCCGCCCCAAGGGCCACTATGTTCTGTGGTCTGCTTTCTGAGCCTCTCAACACTAAAAAGAGGTACAGAACCTGGGGCAGAGCTCGTAGCTTCTGTCTTTGGGGCTTTAGGGCAACAAGAGACCCCTGCAGTAAATATAGGAATGCTGTTTCTGGTCCTAAGCATCTCTATTAGAGAGAGAGACAGCAGGGCAGGGCATGATTAGGAGACTGGTGCTGAATCTCCACCACTACTTCCAGGACCTAAGCCCACTAGAGTCTCACCTCATAGACAGCTAGGTCGATGCCTGCATAGGGAATGATTCCCAGCATGTTGGGGACATAGCCTTTGTAGAATGCAGCTACACCCTCTTTGGCCAAGATTCTCCTGGCACAGTCCAGCATGCCCGAGTACTGGCCTGTCTTCCGCAGGGCCATCCGGGTCTTTAGAACCTGCAACAGGAGTGGCGAGAAGCATGAACATGGCCCATTCCTTCTGTACCCGGGCGCACTGCCCACCTCAGGACCAGGCACAACTTACCTCCATTGGGTAAATGCTGCTCTGGGCAATGGCCCCAGCTAAGGAGCCTGCCACCAGCCTCTCATGGATCCTCAGCGTCTCCTGGTCACTACCAACAAGGCGCTTCATCTATGAGAAGAAGAAAACAATGCACTCAGGCCACAGTGCCTCTCCTGGTCCTGCCCTTCCTCTCACACTCACTCAGCTGTGAATGAGACCTGTGACCCTAGTGCCACTTTATGCTAAACCCTGCAAAATGGAAGGAAGTGGCTTGAGCAGAATTGGCAGATCTGGTGTGTCAGACTGAGGCCTCCCACCTACCCTGCAGTCCCCTTCTATGCAAGTATTGGCTCTAGTTTCAGAGACCTCTTTCCAGCAGACTCTCTGGAAGCAGCTGCTGGCTGGGAGCCCTTTCCCAGAAGCCTGGCTCTTACCTGCTCGTATGCCATGAATTTGATGGCCGATTCAGGGGCAATTTTGAGAACATTGATGCCATTGCCCCTCCAGAGGGACCTGGCACCCCCTTCTCGAATCATCTGGGTAAATCCACCTACAATGCACATATTGTTGCTGCGGGAGGCATGGACCTGTGGGGGAACAAAAGGTCAGAGGAATTCAGCAGGATGGAGGCCACTATCTACCTTGGGAGGAGCCTCTTTTCAGCAACACCAGGCAGGATCTTCCCTCTAGGTAATTTGAAGAATAACTCAGCATCCTAAGGATTTAGTAGGCTTGCTTGGCTTTTTTTTGAGACAGGATGTTATACTAGTAGCTCTGGCTGGCCTTGAATTCTCAAATCTCCTGAGTGCTGGGATTAGAGGTATGCCCCACCACACCCAAACAGGACAGCTTACATCTTTGGAATGCTTTTAAAAATAAATCAATGAGGGAACTGCAGTGGTTCTGAAGGTAAAGTGGCTATCCAAGGCCACACAGCTGGGAGGAGAGGCCAACCCCAGCCAGTTTAAGCCTACAGCTCTTCTTTGAGTCTTTTGCCTCCCCTTGTTTCCAGAAGAGAAGTAGGAGGGAGAATGCTGTTTCTGGGCTAGGGCTCCTGGCACAAAAACTAGCCAGCAAAAGGGCAAGGGGATAAGCAGTCACTGTTCAGACAGACATCAAAGTCCACCGGAGTGTGCACATATGGGTCATTTCACAATGTTGCCCCCTGAAAGTAGATGAACTATTCTCTGCCCTGTGGACATGAAATTGCATGCCCAGCCCAGTAAAAGCGCTGCTTCCTGATAGCCTCTGGGTCATGTGAGGATTTGCTCCCCACTGCCCTCCTTGGAGCACTCTGCCCCATCTTTGAGATGTGCTTAAGGAAAGTGGGTCCTGTACACTCCAAGTATCACTGGGGCTCCACTGGTCTGTATTAAGCTGATGGAAGGTGAGGGACTGCTTGCAGGCCTCAGATAAAATTAAACCAGCTAAGCATACAAGGTCACCTAGGCCTGGATTTACTGGGATCTGCAAACTAATTCTAACTGTACTTACTGGGTTAGAAAAGTCTGGGCTTTTAAAGCAGGGCCCCTATTGAGGGAAGAGAAGCCAACCAACCAATGAACCCTGGGAGAAAACCAGGCCACCTTCAAACTCACCTGCATGAGCACCTTTAGTCTGTCCAGGGGAGCCGTGCAGGTTCTAGAAACAGCCCCTGCCCCACCTCCTGCCACCAGATGTCTCCACCACATGCCTGTCTGCCTTTCCTCCACTGTGAACTCATCTGGGACCGTCAGATTCTCACCTACATCGAAGATCTGTGAGGAAAACCAGCAGAGATATAGCGAACCTTACTCAGCACATCTGTGGCTAAGCTACTTGAAGCCTTCCATCCTCTAGTGGCTACACTGAAAGGGGGTGATACGAATAGTGAGGATGTCAGGGACTTTGGGTAGAAAGCTCACTGAAGCTCTTTTTCTTTACTCTAATGGTGGAGAAGCTCCTGGCCTTGTTTGTGGTATGCAAAGGTAACTGAGGGGAGAATAGTTACAAAACTGTCTGGCAGGCCTTTCAAAGGTGGTTCCTGAAGCTTTTCAGGACTCCAGGGTTGCCTGAACCATGAGAATCAGGGAAGATGAGCACAAACCTTGCAACCTGATACAGAACCAGACTGTGCTAGAGAACATATGGCAAGGCCTCAGCAGGCAGTGTGCTATGCTATGCTGTCTGCACAGCACCTCTCTGGAAGTGGTCCCAGCCAGCTCTGCTCTGAAGAAACACAGTTCCCCTCACCCCCCGGGGCTTTAGGCCAGAGACAGCCCAGTTAGCTGCTCTGAACCCTGGGGCCAGTCACTTGCTTTCACCCAAGAAGCCCTGATGTAGCTACCACTGTGGGTACAGGGTGGATAAGGCAGGGATAGCTCAGCCAACAACAGCAGGAGGGGTTGAAGAGGTAACTAAGCACAGACCCACATTTCTAACTATGGAACCATGCTGACAGGGTGAAAGGGCAGAATGTGGGCCACTATGGAGCATGCTTTCTTGTTTTGGAGACAGGGTCTCACTAGGTAGTCTTGACTGGCCTGGAACTATGTAGACCAGGCTGGTCTTGAGCTCATAGAGATCCACCTGCCTCTGCCTCCAGAGTGCTAGGATTAAAGGCATACACCACCAGGTCTGGTAGAATCCTTTTTTTTAAAGAGACAGTCTCACTCTGTAGCCCAAGCTGGCCTTGAACTGGTGATAATCCTCCTGTCTCAGCTGAGACATGCTACATTTGCCAAAGAAAGAATACTAAAAACCCAGGGAAGGCAGGGGCCTCTGATACTCTATGTAAGTCTCCACAGTACTGTTTCTTCCCCCATCCCATGGAGGACTGTGTGCTTTTGGGAGAACAAGAAATATCAAGGAAAGAGATATTTGGAATGGGCCATGAAGGGCAGGTGGCATGTGGTGACAGGAGGATACTCCTGGCAAAGAACCAAGGGAACAGTGAGGCTGTTCACACTGGTCAGTGAGTGGGAACTGGGGGAGCATGTGGCTGGCTCTACTGGGCTGGAAAAGAAGGGGTATCTTGCTGCATCAGCCAGGATCTTCTACCTAGCCCTGGATAGGGATGGAAAGACTGATTCAAGGCAAAGGAAAAGAGTAGAGGGTGGGGAGTGCGGCCTCACCGTGGAGTGCTTCCAGTACAGGATGATCTCCGGGATGTTTTCCACAGGGTGCAGGAGGTGGTAGTCTCTCCACTCGTTCCAGTCAATGGTCATCGTGCCGTTCTTATCCATGCTGCAAGACAGAGGCAAAGTTACCCCCATGCAATCACACCCCAACTGCCAGCTGTATGCCCCCCTCCTGGACAGGATGAAGGTAGGTATCACAGCTACTAAGGAAACCACAGAAAGCATCTATGTACCCTTGAGAAAGGGTAAGGGGGCTCCACACCCCACTTCGCACAAAATGGAGCTATGTTGGCCCACAAGAACCCCGTTCTGATTAGGCATGGCAGTCAGGGTCAGGAAGGTGGTCATTGGGGTGACATGGATACTTACTAGGTGACAGGGCCCCAGAAGTGGCCCGTTCGTATTCTGACAGACAGACAAAGGAGGATGCAGAGGAGAGAGGAGAAACAACACAAATAAATGCTCTGAGCAGGTTAGTGAAGCAAGCACACACCCAAAGACATTGGGGGCAGCACAGCATGAGGACGAGCCCCTCCACAGTGAAGGCCCCAGAAGCAGGTTCCAGGGGCTGCTGTCCATGTGATCAGCCAAATTTTGGGAGCCTGGAAAGGGTCAGCTAGGAGAGGAAGAATCTCCTTGGGCTATTCATAGGGTTTCCCAGCAGCCTCTTGCTCCTGACAGAGCCATCTTTCTGGGTAACATATCTGGTATAGAGTGAAAAGCAATCACTAAGCAATGGGGAGGAAATCCAGCCCAAGGTGAGGGCCACACGTGGTGCAAGCCCTGTTTCCCTTTTCACTTAGGCAGAGGAAGTATTCAAGAGACACCTCTCACCAACTTGAAATGCCCCCTACAAGTCTTGTAGTTTTATGGGTCACTGGCAAGAGTCTAATTCCAGTAGATTTGTAACTCTTCAAATGGGAGCAGGGCTTCAAACCTGGGGAGAGGAGGCTTTGGGGTGGGGTGGGGCTTTTTTTTTTGTATTTTTTTTTGAGACAGGGATTCCCTGTATACCCAGG